TGCTTTGCCTGAGTAATAACAATAGCTATAATGAGTAGTTTACGTTAAATTTGATAATTCTCTAAATCTCGGAGGATTGGTAAATAAATTAGAGAAGAGGGGATATCTAGAAAGCAAATGTCACAATTCTCATACTAGGAGAAATTGAGATTTTTTTTAATATTGCCTTATAAAACTAAGAACTTAAAACTTGTATAATATTAAAATGTGGATTATTAGTTTCATATTGATGTGAAGTTGATTTGTATACCATGATTATAAAGTAGTTTAATTAAATTTTAAATATAACTTGGTAAAAACCTTGTGACATCAGCAGAAATTGATGCCTGTATGGAAAGAGTTATTTGGTTTAAAAAATGGCTCTTGAAGCAAAGAGAGCAAAACACAACACTAGTAGAGAAGAAATGGCAGGATTATCCATTTATCACCTTATTAAGTTGGACAACAGTCCTGATATGGTATCCTATAATCCTGAATTATCCATGTCAGCAACCACTTTCATTATACATATCTAGGGGGGAGATTAAACCCCAGCTGATACTAACTTTTAGAGATCTTCGTATCACCCTTCCACTTTTGTGTGACCCATTTTCTAGTGGAGCAATGACTTGAAAGCCTGACCTGGAAGTGTTAGTTACAAAATAGTCATTGTGATATAAACTCTAGACTGAGGTGAGGATTAATGTGAACTTACAACTATTTACATCCCATTCACATGTATACTAACTAACTGCAGGACATCTGCACAAATAATTTGAAAAATTTACCTAAATATATCTAAATAAAGATATTCTTTTATAAGTTATGGAAGAATGAAACATAGCAATTTTTACATTAGTAAAAAGGTATGTAACTTAAAATATTGTGAATTATTTGCGAGATGAACCTGGTTGTGTTCAGCTAAGTAAATTTAAACCTGACAGTATTTAAAAAACAAACAGAAAATTTAAAGTAGGTTTCATATTTTTGGTGTAATGTGTGTGTGTGTGTTGTTAGGTGATGACTGCAAATGGAAAATTTCTTGTTAAAAATATTGTTAAGTATCTTAAGTACAATGTTAGTTTTATACTGTTGACTGTATTCAAATATAAGACAAACTAATGCAGAATATGGTATTTGGAGAAAGCACTGTATTCTTATTTTTTGCAGGTTCCTATCCCACAAGCAAAAAGATTGACAGTACTAAAAAGTGAAGTTGAAAGATCACCAGTACATGAAAAAGAAGAGGATCAGCCTGGTGATAAATCTTTATTTAAACCTTCACCAAAAAAACTTAAAGAGGATGAGTTAAAAAACTTAGAGCTATTCACGTTTGGACATAGTTCTAAAGAACTTAATGGCAAGTCAATGATAAAACAGTTTTCTGTAGCTAAGAAAACAGGAGTTAAGTTAACATCTGTGAAGTCCATTTCTCTTGCTTTATCAGGACATAGTGGCTTAAAATGTAGTCCAAAACGTAACATCGATATTGCGTGGCTAGAACGCTGTAGCTCTACTAATCCAGTGTCTCCTCAACCTTTGTGTGAAGATGAAATTAATGAAAACACTGCAGAGTATTCAACAGTTAACTGTTTGGAAAAACCTAAAATTTTGGAGAGCTCAGTGCATTTAGAAGAAAATCATAAAAAACCAAAAGAACTGGATGTCAGCTTTACTGCACAAGTTTCTTCATTTTTCTCTCCTGAGACTAAATCTGATTTAGAAAATAATGTCTGTGCTACAAAGCAGTTTTCCACACATGTTGCTGAGGAGAACAAGTTTCATATTAAAGATAACAATAGTATTACCAATCAACTTAATTCAACATGTGAGGACAACAGTGTTAGTTTTGAAAATAATGCTCGTGTTTTTAAGCAACTTTCTTCTACATCTGTCACTGAGGATACTAGAGAAGGTGTGAATGAAAACATAGAAATGGAAGATAAACTAATTTCGCATAAAGGTATAAGACAATTGGATGCAGAGGAATCTGAAAGTCAGCATAAAAATGAAAAACCTTTTCAAACAAACAAGAGGAAATGTACTAGTGACTTTGAGGAAAATATCACGAAGAAAATAAGGAACAGCAGTTTAAACAGTGATGCTTTATTAAGGAACATTCAGGAATACAGTAAAGAACCAGAGGCAGAAACGTTAACGAAGCTTGTTAGTGAACGAAAAGTTGACATAGAAAAATTATCAATGAAAAAATCTTCTAATTTTGGAAGGTTAGTAAACCTTTTTGGTATGTATATTTCATTATGCTTTTAAATATTATTTAAAAATTAAACAAAGAGACTGTGAAGAACAGCCTTTTGAATAAATATTTTACTATGTCCCAGTAAAAATTTAAAAGGCCAGTTAATTCTGGGAATTTGTCAAGCAACAAATTTCAGTGTTAATATATGAAAGAATGTTCACTGTTGCCTTAAGACTTAGGTTTAGAACATGCTACAAAGAGCTATATTAGCAAGCTCTAGTGCAAATACTGGTGTTGTATAAAAACCTTCTTAACTGAAAGCTTAATGCACAAAAAGCTTATAAGTGGAGCAAATATATCATTACCTATATTGTTTATTAGATGAGAGTGACATTATACTCCAATTTCTATTCAAAAGCAAATTTTGTATTAAAAAAATTACCAAACAATTATCAAACACTAGATTGCATGTCAGTAAACATATTAAAATAGGTTAATTCTTTTAAGTTTTGAAATTAATGGTACAGTACTAACTATAATCATAAAAACACTGCATCCCACTTGGTTAGCACCCAGCGAAATTAACTGTTAAATTTAATATACATGTGGCTGTTACCACCCAAATTATTAAGGTATGTTCAAAAGTCTTAATAATGGCACACCTGAATGCCAGTAGATATCAACTAATATTTAAATGGACACACTTAGGGTCATGTTAAAAGATTTTGGTCAATATTTAGCTAAAATAATATACTCCCTTCTACAAAGTACTGTACTGACGTGGACTCGTATTAAGGAAGTTTGGTAGTAAGATATAAGTAAGGGAATATAAAGACTGAAAAGAATGAGAAAAGAGTAAACTGTTAAACGTTAGAGGAAATAGTAAATCTCTAGGTGAACTTTAAAGTAAACAATATAAGACTGTAATTAACAGAAAGTAGATATATTTAGTTAATTATGTATCCTTGAACCAACTAGTAACATGAGAGGGGATCTGATTGAGATGTTTAAGATTATGAAAAAGATCTCAGGTTCTGGTTGATAAGTTTCTTAAGCCGTTCAAACAGTGCAGTTGCTAGTGTTAGGGCAAATGGGATTTTAGGTACATTTGTTCAAACTTCACTCCTTCAAATCTATCATTTTACATCATTCATAAAGGACAAGATTTTTTTTTCTATCTTAACTAAACTATAATGGATTTAAATGTTATCAGACAAGTGATTTAAATATCCTCTAAGTTAACCTTTTATATGTACTGAATGTGTATTATTGATTAAAACTAAGATTTCAATGATAATAAATCCTATATTGGAATGCAGAATGATGAAGTTTTGTTTTTAAAGATTATTTAGTTATTTATATATGCTTGGACCAACTAGTGTCGCAAAGGCATTAAATTCACACCCAGAAATAACACAATAACATAAAACAAGGAACACTAAGACTGGGAAATGATGGTCAAAGTTAAAGGTAGAGGCTCTGTAAAATAGTTACACCTGGAGATATAAGCATTTATCACAATACTTTATGCATCAAATGCACAAATATACTATTTGTTAATTTCAATCTTACATTATTTCTATTTAAGCTCACCTGTAAATTTATTATTCACTCATTATGTACACCCATAAATAATGATGCATGAGGGGGAAAAAAGGTTGTTGCTCATAGAGAGAACTATGGAAGATACAACTTCTTGAGTCCACCGGTAGGACAGCAGTAACTCTACGGGTTTAGAATGCTAAAATCAAGGGTTCAATTCCCCTCGGTAGACACAGCAGATATCATGGTGTGGCTTTACCATAAAAAACACACACTCACACACAACTTTTTGGACCAATAAGGAGATGATGATGTGATGGTAACCAATGAGATGGTCTGGCAGGTATGGAAAATGATCCAGATTTTTCTCTACTCACTTAATTCTGGAGGTGGGGAGGATAATTATTGAACTTTGGAGACTAGATTTTGGTGACAGACTTCTTATTCTATTAACCCTTAGTATTCCTGTTCTGTCTTTGATATTTCCTTTTTTATTTCTTGGTGCAGGTCTATTTCTGTGTAAAAGTCTAATTTGTTCACTCAACAGCTAGATTTCATTCACTTTCTTTCTGTTTCCTCTTTCTATTGCACTCCAGACAACAAATACTGGATGAAACCTGGTTTTAGGCTGGAGTTGACTAACTGATTACGATCTGACGTGACCTAGCCACTCTTTACCATCTGGTACATCCTGTTACTATTTGGACTGGTGTCTTTTCTGTCCGATTTTGTGACACATCTTTACAATAGTACAGATGGGGTGTGGTCTCCCACAAGTGTGACCCTATACATTAGGGTGTCTCACTACATGAGTTCACTTTGGGCACCTTCCAGACAATGCTCATCTAGGTAACTTTTGTATTGGTCCTTCCACCTTTTCAATGTGAAATTCTACCTATTACGTGAGAAGTGGTATTGTATCAGAATTTAACATTTTCCTACACTGAAAATGTATTTCCAATAGATATTTATATCTGTTCACTCTTCACACCCATCCTCTCAACTTCTGGTGTGTGTGTGGTTTTTTTGCTTAATATTGAGGCAGTGATTGTGCTCTACAGTACAGAGGGAGTCAGCTATGCTAGGAGGGTACTGCACTTCTATTGGTGAAGGGTTGTCACATGCTACAATGCAGCTATGCCACGTGTAAACACAAGATGTTAGGTAGGAGTCTCAAGACTCGTGGTGAATGAAAACTGTGCATATAGAGGGCAGAATAAATTGAGGAAAGCTATTATGTGAAAGGAGGTAAGTATCTATCAGAAATACATTTTCAGTGAAGGAAAACGTTAACTTTAAATTATTAACTACAAGTTATTTTACATGCTAAATACATAACTATACTGCCCTAAAGAATAACTTGTATTTGTTAGCATAAATAATAGACTTTTATAGAACACATTCTCTTCTTTCTCTATTTTTCAACAATAATAGCCAGCAAAAACTTCTTTCATTATTCAACTCTACACTATTACCCATTCATACCCATGCCTCACAAGATACCTAGTTAATTAGGTCAAGAATGGTGCTACATCATGGCACTGAAAAGTATGGCCTACTCTGCTGTATAATTACAGTGTAGGTGTATTAAAGGTTTTGCAAAACTTTTTGTAGTATTTACAAAATCTCAATAATTAATATATTTTATGTTACATTAAATCTTACTCATTTTGAAAAATACTTTTCTCCTGCAGAAAATCTATCTCACATACACCAATTTCCAAAGACAATTTTGTAAAAATCAATCTGAAAAAGAAAAGGTTTTCCAGAGGCCATCGTCATCTCAACAGTCAACATTACAAGAGGATGAAATGGAAAAACCTGCAGCAGTGCAAAGATGATGGTGATGAAGATAAACCTGCCAAAAAACAGAAAAAAACATCTGCTTGTTTCAAATGTGGCCAGATTGGTCATTGGGCTCGTTACTGTACTGGGGTGAAAGGTTAGTGCAATATTTTAAAAATATATTTTTTGGGTGAGTCTCTTTCGGTTATACAATAGGAATGCAAAGCATATTTTTTTTCTGCAAGTAAAATGTGAATGTTGTATGCAAGAAGTGCACTCAACAGTTTCCGATGTTGTATATTATATAAAAATTATTTTCATAATTCTTAATTTGCAAAAATTTTTTGAGCTTTGTCAGTAATAATGAGTGCTACTCACTAAAAACAGTGCATCTGAACCTGATGAAATAAATAATGACTTTCACTCATGAAGTACATGCTTATATGTTTCTATGTGTGAAGTTTATGCATTTTTAAACTTTGAGTATGAATAAATGAATCCATAACTCATGTTGTAATATCAGTTTTGGGCTACCAAAGGCTTACCTATTCAAAGGCGATCTTTATTCAGTGATTAACATGTTTTCTTTATTACAAAACAATTTTTCCTGCTTAGCCAACCTAATATTTCTGAAGTTTCTACCCCTCATGATTGATTTAACTTTGTAAGCCTGTTTGATAATACTTCACTTGTAGTTGTATTTTATATCAAAATATTCTTTGATTTATTGGTGAAACATCTGATAGTGAACCCTGGTGTTAGCAATCAGGGCAAGTGTATTTGTACGTTATGCTTTAATGTTTCAGCATTTGAATGGCATCCTTGAGTCTGAGAAAGTGTTATAATCTTATTGTAGGCTTCAAAAACATACATAATGCTAGTTTACCTTTACAGGCTTACTTATCATTCAAACATCAATTATATTCTTAATGCTTTCTTAAGAGTTTTGAAGTTACTCATACCTCAAGAAAGTACTACTTGCTTTGTCATTATAGGTGTGTGTATTGATTTCATAAAGTGACTGCACTGAAGGAAAATAGTAAATCTCTGATGCAGCTTAATAGTAAAGGTGCAAGGTCTTGGGTCTTGCAACACTGCTCTGGTTGCATGACGATTATGTTTGCCCATATTTTTGATTTGGATAATGATGTAGTGCTTTCTAGTACTGTCTCCATATTGCATTCATCTTCTATAGGAGCTACTATCTATCAGATCCTGTAAAATTCCTGACATAATTGCACAAAGTTGCATGGTTTAAATAGAAATTGATTTGGAATATCTGTGACACACACCTCATGGAAAGAACAAGGCACATTTCCATTGATTCAAAACTGTCATCACACAAAATTACAAAATCCACACCTCATTGATCTTTAGCCTTTCTATCAAACCCGGGTGATTGAGTGTTGTAGTATCACAACAATACTTATTCATTATCAAGGCCACAGCAACTTGTTATTAACACATGTAACAAAGAGTCTAACTCCAAAACTATGTATTTCAACAGTACAAACAACATCATGGGTGCACTTTGGTGGCCTTGTTATCAGTCATGACTGCCCATCTTAGCAGATCAGTCACCATCAAACCACTGACTGTGGGGTTACTTGAAAAACAAGGTGTATTATGATAACCAACATGAATGTCTTCTATGAATTTTTGCCCTGCCTACAACCTGCAGTTGGCAGCAGTAGGCAAATATTATAAGAGTGGAGTCATCTATCCAAAAACATGTTAAGAAATGTGATGATGTCTTGAATTATAATCTCAAATTTCATGGCAATCTGTCAAACTGTTCTGAAGTTATACCACTTTCATTTAGTACAGACTTTATGGACTTCTTGCAAACAAAATTCAAAATTCTTATCATTTCGTTTTGGAAAGCTGTAAAAAAAGGTACTTCTATTTTACATCAAACACACATATCTCTTGACTAGCTAGTTTGAGTTTAGCTGATGTCTTTTTCTCATTCCCATGTTCTTCAATTCCAGATAATATTGGATTATCTTCATAATGAATTTCTTCCCCTCCAAATATAAATTTTATGGTAATTGATAAAGAGGACAAAATTTCATCCATTCCAGTGGTTGAATCTTTTTCTCATACTGAAGACAAAAACGTTTAGTTATTGAAATATTTGCTTTAAAATCAAGAAATTGGCTTTTATAAACAGTACTAATAATGTTTTTAGTTACAGAGTTATATATAGTTTTATTCATATATCTGATTTTTTGTGGAAATTTTAAACTACTTCATAGTGTTCAACATAGCATGAAGCTTTTTTACATTATTGCTTCTATATGAGTTACACCATTTCTTTCTCTGGTGTAAACAATTATCCACTAGGAATACACCAAATAATAGTGCTGCTTGTTCAAGAGATTAATGGACTCTGACTGTTGTAAAGAATAGGAACAATGTAAATTAGTGAATCCCTACATACGTATATCATAAAACTTTGACAAATATGGAATGCATTGATTTTGCTAGAAAATGTTTTTCCTTTAATTACCATGCAGATATTTATAATTTAAACTATGTTCATTTATAATGCTTTATACTGATACACCTAAATTCATAACTAGTCGATACATTACTGCCTTCCGAAAACAACGATGAAGTTGAAGATCAACCTCTGCCTACTTTAGAAGAAGCAGCACAGATGTGTCAAGGAATTAAGGATTCATTAACTAGAGGTGTCACTAGAGTTTATCCTGGAGGTATGTATAATTATTTTATTATTTTCAAAAGATAAGTTATGCATTAAGAGATCTGTATATTAGTAGTATAAAATATATAGCTGTATGTTGAAGAATATAGTGATTAGAGATTATAATTTTATAGTTCTTACTTCTGTTGAACATATAAAATTTTAAAACAAGGATTGAAGCTCAGGTTTTCAGTAGAGTATTTGGGTGAAATTTATCTAACTTCCATTTAGACAGATGATGAGTACAACTATAATGATGCCTCATCCCTCAATCTCTTGCTTTCTACCTGTACTTTATTATTTTTATTTTGTGTTGTTATTGAAATACATTTATTTAACCCTCTTTAAGTTAGAAGAATTAAATCTTTAAAGACTTTAATCAAGTACAAAGAGGTCACATGGTTGGTCAAATTGACCGAGCTCATGTTGAGAGAGTTAATTAATATTTTATTTGTTTTACAATGTCAGTTTTATTTTATTTTTCTATTTTTAATCCCTCAAAAAACTGTTAGAATTTGAGGTTTGGCACAAGTTACCACTTGGTAATGACACATTTTCAAATCTTTTTCTAACCAAGTCCCCCTTTTTTTAAATAAGCTGTGCTTGGTAAAATTAATCCTGAACTTGTTACATACTGGCTATTAATTTGATTTTTTGTTGTTATTAGTGTACCAATTTCTGGGTTAGTTTTTATTGTTACTATTAATAAATATATTTTATAAGTTTCTGCATGTAAGTACAAGGAATTATTTGTCTTTTTTTGTAACCTTAAATTTAATGTACTCTGGGTTACTTATTTTTTTATTAATATTTTTAATATTAATTTCTTTAAATGGTCATTTTGGTCATTTTGACCGACCTCATAACCACCAAAACAAAAATTAAAATAAATCTAAATTATCCTTTTGTTCTTTCAAGAATGACTTCACATTATAACATGAAACTACATTTGTTTATCCTAAATAGATTTAAACTTTTAACAGTATACATCTGTTTATACTTAAACAGTATTCTTTTATTGCCCTATGAACCATGTCTAAGTTTATCTTCCCACCATAAATTTGTAAACCAGTTGACAAACATGGAGCTTATGTTACCCTATCGAATTACACAATGCATGGCTACTAGCGAGCATACCTTGTGAACATTTTTTATTATTATTATTTATTTTACCTAATTTAACTATGTTTAACCTAAAAAAGTTTCTAATTTTTACATTTTAGTTACTTTTATAATAATAAATGCACATGAAAAACAAGAGAAAAAATACATATCTGGGTCTTCTTTTTTTCTTTTTTGTTGTCAACTGTCGATGACACTTAACCCTACTTTTTATATTAATGGTACTACTGCACTAAACCAGGTGGTTAGGGCGCTCGACTCGTAATCTTAGGGTCGCAGGTTCGAATCCCCGTCACACCAAACATGCCAACCTTTGCCTGGTCCCAAGTCCAGGATGAGAAAGGAGGAGGGTTGGGCGCGGGGCTAGCAACTCCACCCCGTAAAAACCAACCTGCTACAAGTAACTGCAACAACAACTTCCGTTGGCGAGGTGTTGTTGTGGCCCTATGCTCCACTGGGAGTTTACAGGAAGTTTTTTGGCTTTCTAACTATGCGACAAGAGCCATTGAAAATTCAGCTAACCTCGTCCATACATTTCTCATGGGAATAAAGTTTGGACCAGAAGGGAAGTAGACAATTCTCTGTACTGAAAACATAATGTAATATGTCATTTGATAGATTAAAATCTTTGCTTTCTATTGGTTATAAATATCATAGTATTAAACGTCCAAGAAAACGATTGGCAATTACTGAAAAGAGGATGTGGTGAATGGAATCTGATTTTTTTTATTTGGCTTTGTAACCAAATAAGACTGAAGGCTGTAAAAATTATGCTTTGTCTGAATGATGACACATTATAATGAGTAATTAATGTTAAGTTTCATAAATTTTTGGAGGAGTGGTAAATAAATAAGAGAAGATGGGATACCTAGAGAGAAAATGTCAGAATTCTCACACTAGGGGAATTGAGGATTTTTTTTTTAATATTGTCTTGTAAAATTAAAAACTTGTATAATGTTAAACTTTGAATTATTAGCTACGTTTTTATCAAAGTTTATTTATATACCATGATAAGAAAGTAGTTTAATTAAATTTTGAATGTAACTCACTAAAACCTCCTGAGATGTGCACTGAAAGAGTTAATGGTATGATGGAGAAAGGCTTATTCACTAGGTGAAGATCAGAAGTATCATGTTAACATTGTGATTTTGATCAGATCAGAGTCCTGGTGCAGAATTTTCCACAATCCTCTCTTGTTAGATTTTAAGAGAAATAAACTCCTTGCTTATATTAACCTGTGCAAACCTCTGCATTGTCCCTCTACTTAAATATGATCTTCACACCAAGAAATAGATGCATGCACATGCTCTCTGTAATGACTGCTGTAGTTTTAATGTACATAAGGTGAGGTTGCGAAGACAGGTTTTTCAGTCCTTGTTATTATTAGTAGCTTATACAGTCACCTGAGTACAATAACTAATTATTTACTAATTTGTTTTATTTATTATATACTAATTATTAATTGTTTTATGTCCTAAAGAAAATAAATTATTAATTAATTAATTAATTAATAGATATAGGCAATTCTTATTGACTAATAACAATGACAGTGATTATTATCCAGTCACCACAAATCTTATCATAAGAACTTAATGACCTTGCAATTTGTAAGGAATGTAAGAATTCAGAAAGAGTTAACTATATATATTAGGTAATATACATATCTCACTCTCCTCCATAAATGTAAACAGCATATAATGTATTGTTACGTCTCCGTGTGTTAATTGATTTTCCGTAACTTCGTTCCGACGAAACTCAAGCGACACAAGTCTTTACTTAATAAAACTGGTTTATTCTTTCCGAATATAACTCTGCGATACACTTAATCTCAATACTCGCGCTAAAACAACACTATAACGAACGAACGTTAACTTCAACAATACCCTGTGACTGCAGTTCAATTACTCACTATCTACTCACACATTACATTCCCCTCTTTTATATACCAGCGTACCCTATTTCTAGTAAGAACTTGAACATTCGCCAAAGTACATGATAGTTCTAGGAACGTTGCGTCACAGTGTCATGTGACTCACTGACGCAACAGTATGTAATTCCCAAAAAAGATAAAAGTCAAATTATCTATCAAGTCTTCATAATGTAAGACTAAATGAAATATAAAAAACTTAATAAAACAATACTTTAATACAGGATTAAATATCACTCTATAGGTCTTTAAAACATAAGACAGAGAATAAAGTTAACTCTATCAGAAGATAAATAATACAACAAACAACAAAGACTCTTGAGAGATGCACATCATACCAACACATGCACACACTTTCATACTTTGGAAGTTCATATAAAGAAACCACATTCACTCATTTGTTCTTTTAGATTTGTTGGGTAAATAGTTTGAAAATAGATTGAACAGTGTACTTAGTTTTTACATGATAATTAATGAAGAAAATGACATCAATATAATCCTTTTAACATTGGATATCTTGGACACTTGATAAAGAAGACAATTACCAAGAATAAGTAAGAAGAAAAAATATAGATATAAAACCATATTCCTCTATGTCAAGTGTCTCTCTGAAAACATACAAATGATATACAGTAGTCCCCCTTTTTGAGAGACACACCCCCCACCCCACCCCCCGGTCAGCAACTACCCCTCATTTCAGGCTACTATACCAGAGAACAGATGTCTACTGCATTATTTTCTCCCCCTGGTGAGTGCCCACCAACAAGCTAAAATGAGAAAACTAATGACTGTTCTATCATGACTTCAAACAGCTACCTACTTACTGAATTTATGCTATTAAATGTGCATGTGCAGCACATTTTTCGATTTTGGCTAGCTTTAGGTCACTCTGGACAGTCAAGAAGGGGTCATAGGGAACTTCATTAAGTTTGTAGACTTACATTCAAAATTTTATTGAACTACTATTTTATGAATATATGTCGGTAGCTTTGGTATAAAATTGAGGGATTTTGCTATTCCTTGCCAAAATCCTGAGTCGCTCGAGTGCATCAGTAAAATTGAAAAGTCTGTGTGTGATTCCAAAAGATTGAAACAAACTACACTCGCTAGCTTTGTGAAGGAATAAAGGTTATGATGTTATTGTGTTCAGGAGAACAGCATCAAGTAGACATATGTACACCATGACAACTGGGTACATTATGTGATTTAGTTTATTGTACTGTATATAGCTATACATGTGAATTGATAATAAGGTGTAACACTGTAATAAATATAACTTTATAAATAAACTGGGGCAACATCTTCTGCAATTCTCTGTTCATTCTTGAAACTCCTCCTCCCCCTGAGGAAAGACCACCATTGGCACGAACCATTGGATGGTCTTTCAAGAGGGTGACTATTGTACAAACAATATAAAGTCAGAACAGTTTGCAGAAGCTGCAACACAATATGATCACAGTTAATGCACACTAAATCAGTGAAGAACAAAAACACTATTTAAAACATGGATTAAAACAAATTGGAGAAACAAAATGTCAAAATTCAAGAGTAAAACAGACATATAAGACTAATCTATCTGTGATGGCTTAACTTTTTAGAGAAGAAGAATACACAAACACATTAAAGTAGAATAATGTTAAACTAATAGGAAACAAACCACACACAAGGAAAACAAAGATAAAAGAAGCCTACTAGATCCGACTAACTGATAATACATTCAGTCAACCTAGCACAGAAATCAGCAGCACCTGGATACCCTTTATGAAACCACTTGTATAGTTATATAATGGCTGGAGACGGCTTGAATGGGTAATGAAGAAAAACTTTAATATAAGTTTAACATAACAGCAAATGTATGATGTTTCGACAAGGTTTTGTCATGTATAGTTGATTCAACTTCCAATGGAATTAAAGCCCAGATACATGGGTACATTTGCCTTAAAAAACAAAATCCAGAATTGAATCCTTTCTCTTGCTACCAGATACAGTCCTTCTTAGGACTTTCCTGATTACATTAGTAGTTTATCAATTAATTACTGATTACTGTTATAATAATTGAAAAGTAAAAATTGTAAATAATTAGTAATTTAACTTAGGTGATCATATAGGTTACTAACCATGGCAACAACTTTGGCCTGAGGTGGTGACTAGAGCATGGTATGGCTGACTGCATGCTGTTCATAAGAACATTAGCTAAAAACAGAAAACTTGTATAATAGGTTTGGAAAATACTACTTGAATACACCCTTACAAAGATATATTCATATTCTTGTTATGAAAGGGTAAAGTACTGTCAATTTGAAATTCCTATAATGGTTATTTGTGAAATGTCTTGACTTGTTAGTTGTACCGTACTTGTAATGAATAACTTTTTTCTTTATTGAAGAACAAGATATCACAAAACAAAACTCAGTCATTGAAGATGAAGAACTCTCGTTTGCCTTGGGGGTCCCTCCTGATCCAGTCAGACCTGCCGTTGAACCTCTTTTCAGTCCTATCCTTACTGGTATGGTCTCTCTTTTTGTAAAGGATGTTTTCTAAATATTAATATTGTCAAATAAAACCTGTAAAGTATGCTTATATTGGACTTGATTTAATGTTGTATACAACCGTAATTGATGAGGCATGATTCTTTTTTGAGGTGTGATAAAGCATCACAATAAAACTGATAATTAAATATATAATTAACCCAAAAGAAGTTCTTATAAGAAAAAGTGTAGGATATTACATCAATCATACTTTATATATTGGAAATTGCTTAGTATTCAGAGGTTATTAGTTTACTGAGCTAGAATCTAGTAAAAATTATGTCTTTAAGTCATTTATGAGACTTTGATTTAATGTTAAGAGTATAGTGTTCAAAAACAATATCCTCTTTAATATTGTCATATTTCCTTGAAATAAATTGTCCCAGGTTTGGCAATTATAAGTGAATGGTAGAAATAGTGTTTAAAATTATTTTTTAGATGCTGTAACTTTGCTGACTTGATGAGATCTAGAACTAATAAGCCCTGTCAGCTATGGCCTATAAAACATAATGTTCTTGAATTGTTGTTTTTATGTACATTGCTAATATTATAAAAATGTATTTTCCAAATTAAATCTTAAAAAACTATCAGTTTTATTGTAATATTTCATCATTTTATATTTATAAAACCATTGTTCTTTAACAAGAGATAATTTTGGTAATTTTTAAAAGTTGATGCACTTCTCAGGTGAAACTTTGTGGATAACATGAAACATTTTGTTTTTAGTTTTATTTTGGAATACTATTAGTATATTAATAAGATAACACAGTATTGTATGTAATGGTTAAAAAGTTAGCGAAAAAACCAGTCAATGAAACAAACTATCAGGAGACTTGAAATCAAAGAAACTAGTACATTTCCAATAAGGTATTGTATATTCTCTCACAAAACAGCTATTTTCGTTCAGTGCCGCCCTCTATATGCAAATTTTTACACAGAGCAGAAGCCATGAAACTCCCACCTACCCCACGATCAATGTGGTTCGCTGTGTCTTCTCATGTAAATCATCATGCAACAACCCTCCACCAATAGAAGTGCGACACAACCTCCTGACGCATGTGACTCCATCTATACAATTCTACTTAACCATTCATTTTCATTAGGCATTGGTCTTGTGCAGACGTTTCATTTATTGCAAAATTTTTATCTCTTTTCGAAGTAGTGTTTTCAAGGTTTTACTCTTTATTTTTTTCAACTGTTTCTTCACTGTAGTTTATGGTCAAGAAAATTTACCTTTTTTTTGCTTTTTCTCACAGTTGATTTTGAACTTGGAATTTTGTGTCACAACTTTAGCTACAGTTAGCACTGCTTTAATGATTGTCATGACACAGGCTTCAGGTGGGGATCCTGGCTGGGATTTTTTGGCCATCATTTGCAGAGAGTTTGAATTTTATGTGTCTCATCACTCTTTTCCCAACATTGTCCAGGATCATCCTGTCTCTGTAATGCCTGTTCATGTATAGGACGATTTTGACAGCATTTGATCAATGCCTATACCTCTCCTGTGGAATTTAATAAGCCTACCTCAGCCTTTATAGATATGTTTTTCAGATTTGTTACATTTTTCTGTATCCTTAGTTTTGTATGATCCTGTCCCTGCAAAGTTACATGCTGCCCCATCATCCAATTATCTTGTCTTCTCTCCTTCTCTTGAATTTAGAGTATATGCTGTGTATTTAATTTCTCAATTTAGGGCTGGTGCCAGCATACCTTTTCATCCATCACAGGCTTCTGATCATTATGCATTGGCTTACTTTCAGGCCTGTGATCCCTTTCTTGGCTATCAGCAGTTGGAGTCATTTTTGTCTTTGTGATGGGCAAATCTTGTGAATCCTGAATGTTTATCCTATGCCCAATTTTCCTGCATTCATCTTCACCTTACATCTCTCCTATACACATATCTTTGTGCAGTGTGGATGATCCTTTTTCCCCCATAAGTCTGTTTTTGGAGAGGATCCTCTATCTTTGGTATCATGTATGGAATCTGTGAGGCAACACTCAATCTTTTCTTCCTTGGTTGCAAGTTTGTCACAGCTCCCATACCTTACTCTATACTTGTTTCCCATCTTTCACCCTCCTAGCTTTTGCCTGTTCCTTACTCCAAGGGCCCATCATTTGTCTCACATTCATACTCTTCATTTCGAGCAGTTCCAGTGATTATCCAGTAGCATTTGGCCCAGTGGAGAAATTCTCTCCTGACCTGTGGGTGATCAGGGTTTTGTTAGACATAATTTTTCTTCATTTCCTCTCCCCTCCTTCATTGTCTGTGGTTCCAATATCTTTCCCACTACCTTGGGATCCCACTGCCAGTCAGCGTCTATCTAAGGCTGTTCAGACTCTTCTCTCGCAGTGTGCTATTAAGCCTATCAGCCAGTAGCCTTCCCCAGGCTTTTTGTCATCCCCAAGAAGACCAGAGACTGTTGTGCTTCAATCTGTCCCGCCTCTATCAATTTCTGGATCTTCCCTGCTTTACTGTGGTTTGTTTTTTCTTCAAGTCTGTGGGTGACCAAGGTGGATGTCTCAGACACTTACCTCCATATTCCTTTTTCTCATCAGTCCTGATGCTATCTGTGATTTGTTTACATCAGAGATATATTTCAGGTTTGCACTTTACCTTTTGGGCTTGCTTCAGCTTTGTATGTGTTTTGTAGAGTGGTTAAAGCCTTTGCCCAACTTATGCATGCTTGAGACTGCTCTTCCACCACATGGAAGACTGGCTTCTGTTAGCTCCTTCCAAACTGGTGTCTTTTCAATACACATGTCTGCTATTGAGAGAAGCAGCTCATGTTGGTTGGATTCTCAAGATGGAGAAGTCTTTCCTGATTCCTGCCCACTTCCTTGTCCACTTGGTTGTGTTCTTCAACACTTCCCTCAGTCAGGCTGAACCTTCTCCACTTCATCTGCATTTGATGGAGCTGTTATTTCTTTAGGCCCTTTCTTTTCCCTCTCTTTCTGCAATCACTTTTGGAGATTTGAACTTCCATAGAAGCCATTATCTCCTTGGATTGTGCATGTATGTGTTCTCTTGAGTGGCTGTTCCTACTCAGTGGAGTTGGATCCTAGAGGAAAATGTTGCTTGGCAAGGATTGTATGGGACATCCCACCAAAGTTGTCTTCGGGTGGAGGCTAATTCCACCAATCTTGATGTATACCCATGGCCAGTAATGCACACTGTTGAGATAGGTGTTCCACATGATCGCTAGTAGGTTTCCTCCTAGTATTTTGCTTCATCCACATGCCTGTTCCAGACTGTATTAACCCATGGACTTTCATGGGTAAAGCAGAAGGAAATTGCTGCACATCCCTGCCATTCCTTTGGTTGAATAAATCAGGGGATGTCTTCTTTTCAAAATATGGTTTTCCAGTGTTGGCATTTTTCTGGACTCTCCACCTTGTTTCTCCCCCCAATTTCTTCTAGTTAAGAGTGCTTGCCACTTTTCAGTTCCTAGCCACTGAGGTGGTGCCTCCTGAATATGCTTACTTCCATTTAGTAAAGAGTAAGGCAGTAGTGTTCTGCCAGTGTAGAAAAACACAACGCCAATTCCGTTATTCGGTTCAAAGAGCTGGACAAAGCCCCTACGGTGGTGGGTGTTGCTGGCTGGCTGCCTTATCTCTGGTACAAAATTAGGGATGGCCATACTTGAACCATAGGAGTTTCTAACATGGCAGCTCAGCTCACATAAACATAAGGTGTTATCAGGTTGATTCCTCATCCTACCTTGAATATGAGTTTTTGCTTCATACATTTCACCTTTGTGTGGTGGGTCCTGGAGGTTGATGTTGCTCAGATCTAGTTAAATTTACCACAGCTATGTGATTGCTCTAGGTGTCAGCCAGTCATCCATGCAGTCCTGATGTTGCATGTGGTCCCTCTGGTGCTCCACCTCAAGGAGGTTTACTATCTGAGGCAGATGTTGCATGAAGTGAAACCAGTCCATTAGAATTTGAAGTGAACCACCACTATTGTTTGGATGTTGGGTTCCTGGATGACTAGTGTTGGTAATGGATTTGCACACCTGTGCCCAGTTTAATAGACCAATATGGAAATGTTCTCCTTAAGATGGTGTGGACCCTACTTCTACCATGGGTCAGATTATGTATACTTAATGCTGTCTGGTGTTGGACTGGAATTGATCTGCTGAGTATAGTCTGTTGCAGCCTAGTTACTCTACACTAAGAGACACATCCCTTTTAGTTTTCCCCACCTTCCAATCTCTGGCTGAGGAACTCTACTTTCATTCTTATCCTGGACTGATTCTGGTGATTTCCATTGGATGTGGGTTTGTAATCACCCAGTTTTTTCTCTCATTTGTTGGATATGCTTCTCCCAATTTCCACCAGTTTATGTGACATCTACCATACTGGGTGAAAAGTATACCTGGTACAGAAATGGTGCAGTCTCTTGCTGGGGATTCACACCTCCATGGGTGTTCTATAAACACTCTCGAAGGATGCTTATCTATATCCCCTGCACCAGTTCTTCCACATTTTCGGTATTCTAGATATTTTGTGAGAAGAGGTAAGGTATCATATCAGAAGTTACTTTCCAACACTGAAAATATATTTCCAATAGGTACTTACCTTTAGTGCTTAAAACTGGTACTTAATCTCTGCCTAATCTTGAAGTGAGGGTTAACTCTTTCAGCACAGGCTCAGTCCCTGGGACCGACCTCGTAACCATTTTGGGCTTGTAGTTTTTTGCTATAGTTTTAAATTAGGAAGCTAATGTTAACGAAATTTGGCAGATTATCAGTAAATATTACAATGCTTTCATACACAAAATATCAATTTTGTTTATTAAGTCTTAAGGTTTATAAAGATTTTCTCATGTCGATTTTTCTTTTCGCATGTTGCCTATCTGTCGTGCAAAGGAATATTAATTTTAAGATTAAAAATACTTTTATGCATCAGAAAATTTTTAAATTTCACATGCGAGGTCTTTATAATGTTGAGATAGTTATCAAACCTTTCTTAAGGAAAAACTTTATATTCTATCTGTTATTTTCAGTAATTAATCTCTGTACAGGTTCAGTAGATTTTATTGATCTTGCAACCACCATAAAAAACTAGGATATATAAATTGTGCCTCTTTTATTCTAGAATGAACACAAATTATAACAAGAAAACATAAATGTTTGTACAAAATAGCTTAAATCTCATAACATTATACATTTATATATATTTATTATATTGACCTTGAAGTTACAATGATGCGGCTCACTTGCACTCATGTTACCATATCCAATAATATAAAACTGACCTTTAGTCTTTACATAGTGACCTGTCTTTGCTGTGTTTTAGTGGACTAGTATTTTGTAAAATACAGTCACATTTCAAGTATAATACATTACATATGTATATAGATTATTTCTATTTTGAAATAAGTTCTTAAACTTATTTAACTTAAAACATAGAATGGTAACTAAAGAAGTAAAGCAAGCAATTATCTTTTCTAGTTACGACCTCTGTACTCGTTTGCTGCTTGACGTAGGTTGCTAAGCCTTTAAAAAATGTACACATGGAGGACAGGAAACAAAATATTTTTTTTAGGTCTTATACATACATTTGAATAACTAAAAAAATCATAAATTACTACATTAATACCACAGAATTCCACTATAATTTATCAAGTTTAGTAACTAAGATGTATTTTAGTCTAAAAAAATATGAAATTTTGAGCAGACTAAAGATACACCCTACCTCGTTGAAATATTGGTTCAAAAGAAAGAAATGGCGCAAAGTCCATTAATATGGCTAAGGAAGTTACTAGAGGGACAATCTGAGCTTCTGATTGGTTATTCATGTCATATATAGAAGTATGTATAAGGGAGCATTTCCAAAAATGGAAAGAGGTGGGTGGGGTGCCACTGTCTTTGATTCAGTACACGAGGGATATCTTAGCAAATTGAAAAGATAAGATCTTCTTATTTTATATTCTAGCTTGTCAATATTGGTAATTTGAGTTTCTAATTTGTACAAAACTATAGACTTGGTATTTTGACTTCACAGACAACTAATTTGAACCAGTGCTGCATTCAACATACCACTTCAGACACACAAATAATGATGTTTATCTGTGTTTTTTTAATATTTGCTTTTAAATTAAGAAATTGAGTAATATATAGTA